ATGACATAACTGATCCACACACGGTTAAGGGAAGGTCTTTACTGTAGATATGAGAGAGGACAGTCAGAGGCATCTGGAGGAGTCCAGAGCAGAGAGGGAAAATAGCAGACTGGACCTGGCTAGGAGAGAAGCCGAGCAGAGGGGGAGAGAGGAGGACAGAGTGCCGGCAATAGAGAAGACAGCAAACTGGTGCCGCACACCATTAGTCCCAGCTCTCCGGAGGCAGAGGCAAGCGGATCTCTGTGAGTTCGAGGCCAGCCTGGACTACAAATCGAGTTCCAGGACACTTAGGGCTACTTATATAGAGAAACTCAGTCTTGAAAAACAAGCAAACAAACAAGAGAGAGAGGAAGTGAAGAGAGCAAGGCTGAAATAACAGGGTTATGAGGAAAATGAGCCGCTCCGGGGGAGGGAGGGAAGCTCCCAAGGAGGAAGCCAGGATGCCAGCATGGACTGAGACAGGTAACAGGTCCTTGTGATACCCAGGGAACCTGGAGGTCTCCCTCAGCATACGCTTTGCTATGCCTGTAGGCACTGCAGACAACCATTTGTTCTTTCTGCTAGTGATAAGGGCAGAGCACACTGTAATCCCAGCAGGAGATCAAGGTCATTCTTGGCGACATAAATGGGTTTCACGCCAGCCTGAGCTTTATAAAATAGTGTCCTAAAAAGGGGAGGGGGCAGTGCTGGGGGAAATGGGCAACAAAAGACCAAAGAGATTACCCCATCCAAGTCTGGTTTGGTAAGCTGTCATTGAAGTGCCTGCTGAGCTAATCTCCCACCTCCCAAGTCTACTGTGGCACCTCTCTCGAAACTGCGACTGCGTGCAGCTGGGACAGGAACTGAGTCAGAGGGCCAGAGAGACAGGTGAAAGTCTGATAATGACCCCACGTGTCAGGGTGGGCATGGGGTGGAGGTCAGAGGTCAACGTCAGATGTCATTCTGAGTTGCCATCCACCTTGTTTTTAGGCAGGATCTCTCATTGGCCTGGAACTCAGCAATTGCCTGGGTCACCTGTCTCTACTTCCCCAGTGCTGGGATTGCAGTAAGCGTCCATGCTCAGTTTCATGTATGTGTGTGTGTGTGTGTGTGTGTGTGTGTGTGTGTGTGTGTGTATGTTGAGACAGGGTTTCTTTGTGTAGCCTTGTCTGTCCTAGCTCTGTAGACCAGGTTGGTCTTGAACACACAGAGATCTGCCTGCCTCCAGGGTGCTGCGATTAAAGGCGTGCTCCACCACTGCTGGGCTCATGCCTAGCTTCTTGATGTGGGTGAGTTCTTGGAGGGCAAACTCAAGAAGACAAGCCCTTTGCTGACTGAGTTATCTCCCTAGCCCTCCCCCAACGCTTTTTAAAAAGATTTATTTGGGGACTGGAGAGATGGCTCAGCCATTAAGACTACGTATTGCTCTCCCAGAGAACCTGAGTTTGGTTCCCAGCACCCAGGTCAGACAGCTCAACTCAGCCCCCATCTTCCCTCTCCAAACCCATCAGAAAGCCTGGCAAGTGGTGGCTCCTCCCCATGCTCAAGACCACGCCTACAGGATATGTAAGCTCCGCCCATAAACCTGCCCTGTGATTTCTCTCCTCCATTTACTGAGAGTCACCTGGGAGTGCTTTGCTCAGATTAAACCTGGTCTTACGAACTTGGCTTGATCTGGTTTACTGTGTTGATGGAGAAACCTACTACTGGGGATCCGAAAATGCTTATCAACAACTACCTGTAACTTCAGCTCCAGAGAACCAGGAGCCTCTGGCCTCCAAGGCTCCTGCATTCACCCTCCGCCCCCAACACACATACACATGATTTAAAATAAACAAATTTAAAAAAATCTTTTTTGTAAAATACTTATTTTTTTATTTGTGTGTGTGTTCATGTGTGTGCACACGTGTGTCCAGGGGCATGCAGGTGCCTGTGGAGGTCAGGAAAGGGCATCAGGTCCCCTGGAGCTGGGGTTATAGGTGGTTGTGAGACAGCTAACACGGGTGTGGGAACTGAACTTAGGTCCTCAGCAAGAGCAGTAAGTGCCCTACAGGGTTCTCTGTGTAGCCCTGGCTGTCGTGGAACTCGCTCTGTAGACCAGGCTGGCCTCAAGCGCACGGGAATCCATCTGCCTCTGCCTCCCGAGTGCTGGGATTAAAGGCGCCACCCTGACCCGGCGCAGTCAGTGCTCTTAACCGCGCAGCCACCGCTCCAGATTCCCTGTACCCACCCCTTTCTGTGAACGACAGTTATTGAGCCAAATTGTGTGTAGGGCCTGTGTGTGCTGTCCCAGCTGATTTCAGGAAGGTCGAGATCCTGTGCCTGAAGACAGCGTACCGCAACAGCTGAGCACTAGAACTGTCAGCAGGCCCCACGGCTGCCTCTTGATGCTCACAGCCTTGGGAATTTGACCTTAATTAGATCCGGGCACTGACTATGGGATTTTCAAACCTGTTCTTGTAACGGCCCACGGGGCCTTACACAGTACATAACGGATCTCTACTTCAGCCTATTAGCGGAGACCAGAGGCCCTAACCCCTCTGGAGTTCAAATGCCTTGCTCTAGGCTCCTGGCCACGCCCTGGGTCATTCCCATTTCATACTATTGGTCAAATCCTGAAAGCTCGGGGAGATGTAGCTTTGCCTTGCCCCTGTTCACAGTTCACTGTCCACGTGGGTCAATGTGTAGGTCAGAACAAGGGGGTAGAAATGGGGGTGGACTCAGGCTCAGGGGTCAAAGTCATAGGATTGAGTTGGGGGGTGTACTTAATCTGTGGGTTGCCCCTGTGCAATTCCCTTCTAAAATATGGAGGTCTTGTCCAGCCTCCTGCATCGGAGTCTTGAAGTGTTTGCTGTGCTTCAGTGGATCTTTTCATTCTTAGGACTTGGTGAGTCCCCAAAGCACCTATAATCAAACAAACCTGGCTATTAGTGCGTTTCTTCCCCATGATCCCAAGGAGACAGAGTAGGAATTTCTGGGGTCCTAACAGGGGTCTAGGGCTTAAATACCGTAGGACTGGGAGAGTGGGCCAGTGGGGAGAAAAGGGCTTAAACATCTGGGCTCTTTTAAAAAATATTTGTTATTATGTGTATTTATTTGTGGGGAGGCATGTTCATGCCGTAGCAAATATGTGTAGAGCAGAGGGCAGCTTGAAGTAACTGGGTCTGTGATTTCATTATATGGGATCGGGGGATCGAACTTAGGTCACCAGACTTGACAGCAAGCATCTTTACCATCTCAGCCATCTTGCTGGCTCTAAGACTTGGGTTCTTAGCAAGCCTCGCTATCTGGTCCTGCAGCCCTGGATCCTCGTGGTCCTCTACCTGTCCTGGCTCTACGGAGACAGACACACACCCAGGATGAGGGGATCGCCGCTCTGCCTTGGTCTGGAACTGGGCAATCTGGAGGTATTTCCGAGATTACTTTCCATCACGGTGAGGGTCCCAGAAAGTGCGCTGGCTTGATGGATGGGTGGGGTTCCAAAAGAGACAAATGTGACCACCCCTCTCTCCCACTTCCGGAGCTGTTCCTCACTGGGAAATGGGATACATCCACAACCTTTGTTCGCCAGCTGGTCAAAACGACCGAGTTGGATCCATCCCAAAACTACCTTTCTGGTTTCCATCCTCCCGAGGTTCTGGTTGTTGGGGCCTTCAGCAACTTCAGCAACTTCTGTACAGAGGCCACAGGCTTCTCTCTGGGTCTCTCCCTCTTTCTCAAGCCGCACCTACTCATGCTGCCTTGTTGGTTCCAAGTGCCTCTCTTCCGAGATTGCATCATGACCAGCGGTAAGGAAGCCCCTTCTCGAGATCCCCAGGCGCTGGATGTCACCTAACTTTTCTTATCCTGGGCTGGGGGAGGGGGGTGCGGGCGCCTGTGTTTACCTCTATCTTGGTGGTATCCCTGTGCCCCAGCCTTTGTCCTCCCCACCCAGGTTTAGTCTCTTCTGACAAGGCTAGCGCTTCCTATCTCTTGACCCTCCCCGAGGGTGGCCAGGTGGCCGTCCTGGCTGTGGGAGGTCCCCTGGAGGCCTCGGAGGCAAAGCCAGGAACAGTGAGTTTGCGGCTCGGCTCCGGAATCCGAAAGGATTCATTAAATTATCACTGGAACACCGATGAGGAGTGGGCCGGTGGCAGCAAGGTATATCCACGGGAGCTGCTCTGCTAGAGAGGAGGAATGTGGCAGTGAGCCTCAGGCGTGTCTCCTCCTGCACCTCCAGGGCTTCGCTTGGGCCTGTCTTCTCCTTTGGAGAGAAGGAGCTCTTCCAGCAATATCCTAACCCGCCAGGCTCCTGGGTGCGGAGGGTGCAGGAAGCTCTTCAGGGGAGGCTGAGTGTGGCCTTGCCTCTCTTTCATGGTCGCCTGGGTCTCCTGATACCCTTCCGTGTGCCCATCCACACGGTGGGTGAGTCATGTATCTCTCCACATCATCTTCCTTAAAGCCTGACGTCCTAGCTCCCTGGTCCACGAGTCTGGCATTTATTCCCCCAAGCTTTCTAGCCTGATCCCCAGTTAGTGGGAGATTGAGAGACATCTCAACAGTCAATCTTCTCCCCTCCCGTTCCTTCCTCAGTGGGCGCCCCGATTCCAGTCCAGCGAAGCCCGAGGTCCAGCCGGGAACAGGTGGACCAGCTGCAGGCGTTGTATGTAGAGCGTCTCACACAGCTGTTTGAGGAACACAAGATACGATTTGGGGGCCCTGCTGATCAACACCTTATTCTCACCTAGGCTCCTCCATATCCCCATGTCCGGGCCTTCCTGAGTGACTGCAGGGGATGGGGGGAGGGGATGAGGATGCGTGGGAAATGAAATTAAATGTGAGAATAGAAAAGAAGCATGTGTGTGTTTGTACAAGTTCAGGGGAGGGAAGAGAAACCTCAGGGCAGGGGACCCATTGTCCCCACTGATCCTGGTAGCCTTGACCACTCCCAGTGACCTGCAAACAGATTACATTGTCAATGCCTGCCTGCCTGCCTGCCTGCCTGCCTGTGTGTTTGGGTCCTCCTGCCCTGCCTGGCCTATATGTCGGAGATCAAAGTCTCCGATCCCCCCATTGTCCGGGTCCTGCGGGCCAGTGGGTACCTGCTTCTTGCCTACTCCCTACCTCAGTACCTCAGTCACCAGGGAGACGAGGTCTGTCCCTTTTCTACCTCTCTTTCCCCACTGAGAGCTCTTCCCAGTAACCTGCCCAGACTCATTGACCAAGTAAGTTCAAGGGTCAGTCCAAAAAGGAGTCTAGAAAGTTCTGGGGCTCCAGGCCCAAGATCCGATCTCCTCAGATGTGAACTCCTCCCTGTGAGATCACACCCCCAAACCTTCACCCTCTGTTTCCTGGGTCCTGGAGTCCTGGTGACACAGAGTCACTAGGACCACTGTCCCCATATCCCCTCTCCTCACTCAGCATGAAAACACCTCAGAAGCAAAGGCTTGAAGTGATAGGCACCTACCAATATGTGGTCACTTTTCTCTTCATGGGTAAATGTGACTGGCAGGGAGGAGGGAGGGGCAGGTATGGGGGCCCAGAGACAAGGGAGCTAAGAAAAGGGCATTGGAGGCCATATGTCTGGGCTATTACCATTGTGGGCTCCAGGCACCAGGAAAGGGCCAGAGGAGACGACAGGGCTGCTCAGCACGGGTGGAGGGGAGGGAGCAGATTGTTTTGACTGACTGCATGACAGAAGCCCAGTCTTCTTTCCTTTTCACCCAGGCCTTTCCTGCACCCTTCTGGTCTTCTTTCTCCTTTTTACCCGGCTCTGGTCCTTCTCTGTTCTCTATTTTGTGTGGCTGTACCTGGACTGGAACACACACCCATCCAAGGTCAGTCTAGGGCAGAGGTCTCCGGCCTCGAGATGTGTTTTTCCACTGTTCGTGTGTATGCATGTGGGCTGTTTGTTTTTGTTTTTAAATGTGTATAGGTGTTGCCGGTGGGACCCAGAGATTGATTCCATCACTCTTCCACCTTGTTCACTGAAGCAGGGTCTCTCAATCAAACCCAGAGCACACTGATATGTGGCTGTTTTTGCTAGCCAGCATGTGGTGGGGGTTCCTGTCTCCTTCTGGGACTTGAATTGCTGTGACTTCCATGCCCACCTGGCAGTTCCATAAGTTCCGGAGATCCGAACTCTGGTCGCTTTGCTTGCCTGGCAAGAGCGTAACCCTTGAGCCACCTGCCCCAGTCTAGAAGAGATGACCCCCCCCCCCGCCCCGGGGGAATTCTTCATCCCAGTCCCATCTCTCCGTGTGCAGGTGGAAGGCACAGCAGGTGGATGAGAAAGTGGACAATCTGGAAACATCAGAGAGATTATTTTCCTATCAAGGTGATGAGTCCAAACTCCCAAAAGACAATCGGTCTCCTTCCTCTCTAAGGCCTACTCACCTTCCTGCCTGCTGGAGTCTGCACTGGATGTCTGAGCTGGGGGATGGGGTGATACACGTGAGAGTGACCCCCTCTGCCTTTAGTCCCATCTTAGGACCTTGAAATTTGAATTCCGGGGGTAAAAGGCAGTTCTTCCCAGCAGTTACCTTGTATTCTTTTTTATTTTTATTTACTTTTTAAATTAAAAAAAAAAGTTTACGTTTTACTTATTTGGAGGGTGGGGAAGGGGCTTGTGCCTGCCACCTCATGTCAGTAGCAGTCAGAGTCAGGTTTCCCATCACGTGGGTCCCAGGGGTTGAACTCAGGTTGTCGGGCTTGGTAGCAGTCTCACCTGGCCCTCACCTGCATTCTGTGCCTCTTCCTCTATGTATCTCCCCAAATACCTCAAAGCTACTGAAAACCGCAGAGCTGCCAGCTGACCGGAATTACGTGCTGAGTGCTCACCTCCACGGGATCATGAGCACAGGAATCCTCTGTAATTTCTCCAAGGACAGCAATGCCTTCTCCAGCTCTTTCCCTGGCTTAGGCCTTGGGTGGCCACACTGGCTGGACTCTCCTACCTTCCTCTCTTTCGAGACTACCTCATGTTCAATGGTGAGCCTTCCTAGCCTTGTGTGGGCTTGACACAGCCTGCAGCCATTTGAGAAGGGACTCTCAATTGAGGATTTCCCGGGTCAGGTTGGCCTGTGGCTCTGCCTGTGAGGCACTGTCTTGATTGTTAGTTGAGGGAGGAAGACCCAGTCCACAGTGGGCAGCACCGTTCCCTGGGCCTGCATAAAATAAAAAAGTTAGCGAAGCCATGAGTCTACAAGGGAGCCTGTGAGGAGCGTTCCTCCTTGGTTCCTGCACGGACTTCCCACAATGATGGGCTGTCACCTAGAAGTTGAAACAAACCCTTTCCTCCCCTAAGTTGCATTGGGCCAGAGAAAACACAGTAAAAGAGATGAAAGGCAGAAGTGCCCATGGATTATAGGATATCCCCTTTGTAACCAACAAGATCCTTACACAGCAGACTCTGTACTTGGGTAAGAGAACTGGCTTGGTCCTATTCAGAGGGGAACCCCAAGTATGGTGTACAGGATGCAGGGGACACAGGACTCGGAAGGGTCAGGTATTGCAGAGTGGAGGTGGGAGGGCTAGGGGGCTGGGGAAAGGGTGGTGACAGCGGCCCGCTTCTGTCCGCAGGGCTGTTCTGTGAGTCGACAGAGTCTGGACAGTTCTGTCACAGCCCCAGCTTGGCCAGGCAGTGACCATCGTGATTGGGGGTGCCCAGGAAGCCCTGTTTGCGGTTCCAAGGGAGCACTGCATCACACTGAGGAGACGAAAAGGCTTTGTGTGCTTGGTACTAAGGCATGGGTGAGTGGGGCTACAGGTTCTTCTCAGGTTGGGTGTGCTTTGTAACAGGGTCTTGTTGAGCAGAGGATGCTTGTTCGTTTCCCAGCTCCCGAAATAATCACACAGAAACTGTATTAATTAGAACACTGCTTGGCCTATTAGCTTATGCATGTTTCTAGTTCACTCTTATCTCTTAAATTAACCCATTTCTATTATTTTATATTTTACCATGAGGTTCGTGACCTGCCAGCAAGGTTCCAGCTGGTGGCTTGCGTCTTTCTCCTCTGGCAGCTCCACGGCATCTCCTTGACTCTGCCTACTCTCTCTCTCTCTATCTCTTCTAGCCAGGCTATATTCTGTTAAGCCATTAGCCGAAAGTAGCTTCTTTATTCATTAATCAATAAAAGCAACACATGTACAGAAGGATCTCCCACACCAGGGTCTCATGTAACCCAGATTGTCCTTGAACTCACTATGTCGCCAAGAATGACTTGGAACTTCTGATCCTCCTGCCTCCACCTCTTGAGTACTGGGATTACAATAAGTGTGCACCATCACGTCAGGCTTATGCATTGCTGGGGTTAAAGCCCAGGGCTTCCTGCATGCTGGGTGAGTGTTCTACCTGAAAGATATAGATATATCTATATTGCATACACCACACACACACACACACACACACACACACACACACACACACATGCACGCGCACACGCACGCACACACGTGCACACGCACGCATGCACACACACACACACACACACATGAGGCCATAAGAATGTACATGGTCCCCTGTCTAGAATTACAGCCAGCTAGCTGTGAGCTGCTCAGCAAAGGGACTGGAAACCCAACCCTGGTCTTCTGTCATAGGAGCCAGAACTCTTAACTTCTGAGCCATCTTTCCAGTCCCACGCCTGAATTTTTAAAAATGTCTCTAATTTTTATGTGCATGTGTGTTTGCCTGCACGCATGTTTATATGCTATGTGTGTGCAGTGCCCAAAGAGGCAAGAACAGGGTATTGGATCTCCTGCAGTTGGAGTTAGAGACAGTTGTAAGATACCATGTGGGTGCCGAGACTCGAATCCAGGTCTCTCCAGCCCCATCCTGTGCCTCTGGATTTTATTTTATTTTAAAGATTTATTTATTTATTATGTATACAGTATCCTCAGTGCTCTGCCTGCAGGCCAGAAGAGGGCACCAGATCTCACTACAGATGGTTGTGAGCCACCATGTGGTTGCTGGGAATTGAACTCAGGACCTTTGGAAGAGGAGATGGTTCTCTTAACCACTGAGCCATCTCTCCAGTCCCTGCATCTGGATTTTAAAACCCAGATTCTGGGAATCAGGCTCTGGTCTTCACCATTCTGCAGCCAGCACGTCACTGACTGGGCAGTATCGCCAGGCCTTCAGCCCATCTCTGGAGCCAGGTGTGGTGAGACAGGCCTCGAATCCCAGCACCCTGGGAGACTTAGGCACAAGGAGACACACATACTAACCACAGCAAGCCCTTCTTCCCTCTCGCCACCTTTCCAGGGCCTCCTTTGTGCCTGTGTATTCCTTTGGGGAGAATGATATCTACAGAATCAAGTCTTTTGACCAAAACTCCTGGCAGCATCGGTGCCAAGATGCCTTCAAGAGACTCACGGGATTTTCCCCCTGCATCTTCTGGAGCCATAGTCTCTTCTCTGCCAACCTCTGGGGTCTGGTACCATTTGCCCAGCCCATCGCTACTGTGGGTGAGTGGGGATCCCTGGGGAGGGGAGCTGCAGTCAGTTTCATTTGCAACAAGAGAGCTCTCTCACCCACATCTCCGCTCCCTGCAGTGCGCCACCCCATCCCTTTGCCCAATCCCTCAAGCCCACCGAAGACCAAGTGGATCATTATCACCAACTCTACCTGAAGCAATTGTTTGATGATCACAAGGAGACCTATGGTATCCCTGCTTCCACCCCCCTCACCTTCTGCTAGACCCGAGACGCTGAACCCTGTGCCTGGAGAGTTCCACCGTGCCAGACTCTGCTCCTTCATAAATGCTAATTCTGCCAGCAAGCATGTCCAGACATGGCCACCCCCGACCCAAGAAGCTACAGAATGTGTCCTGCCCCGATTCTGGGTCCCTGCCCAACCCTGAATCTCTTCCCAGTGAGTCCTGGCTGTTTTTTGAAGCTTGGATACGTCATTACTCTAGTTGCTTAAGTTTTTATCGACATAGTAGGGATCTCATGGGCTTGGAGAGATGGCTCAATAGTTAAGAGCACTTGTTGCTCTTGCAGAGGATCCAGGTTGGAGGCTCACAACCACCAACAACTATAGTTTCAAGGGAGCCATTGTCCCCTTCTGAACGCCACAGGCACCAGGCAAGTGCATGGTACACACACATTCATGTAGGCAAGCACTCATTCACATAAAATAAAACAAGTAAATCTAAAAGTCCTAACTATTGGGGTTTTGTTTGTTTGTTTGGTTTCATTTTTATTTTTCGAGTCAGGGTTTCTCGTGTAGCCGTGACTGTCCTGGAACGCGCTCTATAGACCAAGCTGATATCAGAGCTCCGCCTGTCTCTGCCTCCTGGGTGCTGGGATTAAAGGCATGTGCCAGCACATCCAGCATCTATCAGGTTTGAGTATGACATTTTCATACATGTGTATAATTCATTTGACCTTACTTATACCCATGACCCTCTCTTGCCCCCTCCTTTCCTCTTTCCAGCTGGTCTGTCTTCTACTTCCATGTCTTTTGTTTGTTTGTTTGCAGGGTTTGGGGACCCAGTGAGTTTCATTAGTGTTATTTACAGGCGTGTGAGCACCTCTCCAGTGGCTCCACTTTTGCAGAGAATGTTTTGCCCACCCCTTTAGCAAGCATCAAGCTCCACCCCATCCCCCATTTTGGAGCCAGAGTCTCATTATGTACCTCTGGCTGACCTGAAACTCACTGTGTAGACAAACTGGCCTCTCCAGTGCTGAGATTAAAGGTGTGACTACCACTACCCCCTTTTTTGAGACACAGTCTCCCGTGGCTCAAGCTGGCTTCGAATGTATCGTATAGTGGATGTGGGCCTTGAATCCCCGTTTCTCTTGTCTCCACGCCCCAAGTGTTGGAATTGGAGTTGAGTGTTGCTGAGAGGCTGTAATCCTTGGTGAGAAGTTCTCTCCTTCTGTAAATGAGGCCAACAGTTTAGCCAAGAACTGCCAGGTACCCAGTGGTGGTGCACGCTTTTAATTCCAGCACTCAAGAGGCAGAGACAGGTGGATCTCTGTGAGTTCGAGGCCAGCCTGGTCTACAGAGCAAGTTTCAGGACAGTCATGGCTACACAGAGAAACCCTATCTGGAGGTGGGAGTGGGGCAGGGGATGGGTGGAAAACTGGTGGGCTATAGTGCAGAGCTGTGTGGAAGCTTAGCTTTGAAGGGTGAGCAGAATTTTGGAAGTAGGAGAAGTGAGGGTGGGTACTGAATACCATGAGCGAAAGCTAAACTTGGGATCTGTCCTGGTGTGCACGCCTTTGTCCCCAGCACCTGGGAGACCGAGGCAGGAAGGTCATCATGGCTCCTACAGCGAGACAGGAGGAGGAGGCAGTCGACTCCCCGAAAGTTCATAGGCCAGCTAGCCTGGCATATGCAACGGCAAACCAGAGACCCTGTCTCAAACAAGGTGGACAGTCGGTACTGACGTCTGAGTGTACACCCGCATTCACACAAACAGTCCCACACAGAGACTGAAAACAAAACAGGAGGAAACACATGCCTGGTACCAAGAAATCTGTCCAAGAACCAATAGTCTGGGGAAGCTCGTAGGGGCCAAGGGCGAGCCTACTACTATCCCATTGCTAAATGGACAGACCATCAAATGGTTCACTAAATCTGTGAATCTCCATACCCACAGATTACTGTGGCTCCCAGACCTTCTCAGAAAGCTCCCTTGTGTAATGGGCAATGGTGAAGGGAGAAACATAACTAAATAAAGCGCAGAGACCAGGCGTCAGTGGAGTGCTCAGCCCCGTATGGGCACTGTCCAGGTGCAGGGACCATATGGGAAGAGGGGAGCAGGAAGACCGTAGGTCAGGGCAGACAGGAGTAAAAGAATGTCTTCTTCGAGGCTTTTGGAGAAGGGAGAGGCAGTTTTCTTTAAGGGTATCGGTCCTGGCAAGAAGACCTATTCCAGTGGATCCATCCATACCCATGGGTGTATGGGCACCACAAATCAGAGTCAGTGAGCTATAAAAGAGAGTGTGGGGGAGGGGAGAGAGAGAGAGAGAGAGAGAGAGAGAGAGCAGTTCAGAGGAATGGGGGAGTGGGGGATGGATGGGGAGAAGTGAGAAGTCAATATAATTGAAATACTTTGTATTCATGTATAAAATTTCCTCCCCCCCAAATTAATATAAAATATTGTATTAAAAGAAGATTTATGGGGGGAGTGGGAGGGTGTTGGGAAGAGGGGCGTAAATGGAAACTTTTATAATTTAATAAAATTACTTTAAAAAAAAAAGAAGATTTAAGGACTTAAAATAAGGGTGGAGCCCAAAGTAGGGTTAATAGCACAGATAAGATGCGGGGTAAGATCTGATGTCTTCTGAGTCCTCCTGTGGCCACAGCATCCTTTCACTTTGGCTTCACCTGTTTGTCTGCATCCAGGACTAAAAAGCAGAAGACTTGTCAGCTGGGCGTGATGACTTCATGCCTGTGGTCAGCGGCTGAGTCAGAAGACTTCTTTAAGTAGGAGACCAGCCTGAGCTACGCACTGAAATTCTGTCCCAAGCAATAATAATAATACCGGTTTGTCTGAACATGAACCAAATGCAACTCTATTTGTCATCCACTGTCCTAAAAATATATTCAGAGGAAGAATTTTCTCGTATCTCCAGGCAAAAATTCGGGTGAATTCACAACTTTTGTTGGTCCTCTTCAGATAGGAAGTTTTTTTTGTTTTTGTTTTTGTTTTTGTTTTTTTAGAGACAGGATCTCATGTAGCCCAGATTACCTTCGAACTTTCTGAGTGAGGAAAGGGTGCCTTTGAGTTCCTGATCTTCCTGTCTGTGGTGGGGATGGAACCCAGGGTTATTTTGTGTGTGCTACACAAGCATCCTATCAACTGAGCCATCTCTCCAGCCCTCCTGATATTTTGCTGTGGTGTGTGTGTGTGTGTGTGTGTCAGTGTGTGTCTGTGTGTGTCTGAGTGTTTGTCTGTGTGTGTGTCTGTGTGTTTGTCTCTGTGTGTGTCTGTGTGTGTGTGTGTCTGTGTGTGTGTGTGTCTGAGGGTGTCTCTGTGTCTGAGGGTGTCTCTGTGTGTGTGTGAGTGTGTCTGGGTGTGTGTCTGTGTCTGAGTGTGTCTGTGTGTCTCTGTCTGTGTCTCTGTGTGTTTGTGTGTGTGTCTGAGTGTGTGTCTGTGTGTCTGTATATGTCTGAATGTGTCTGTGTGTGTGTCTGAGTGTGTCTGTGTGTCTCTGTGTGTGTTTGAGTGTGTGTCTGAATATGTCTGTGTGTGTCTGTGTGTTTTTGTGTGTGTCTGTGTGTGTGTCTTTGTGTGTGTATGTCTGAGTGTGTGTCTGTGTGTATCTGTGTCTGTGTGTGTGACAGTGAGATAGTGAGGCTAGAGGACACTCAGCATCCTCTATTGCTCTCAGCCCTGTTCTCTTCATACAGGGTCTCTCATTGAAGGTGGAGCTTCCAGTGTCGCTGGCCAGCAGCCCCAGCAATCCTCCTGTCTCTGCCACCCCTGGGCTGAGGTTACAGGTCTGTAAGTATGAAGTTTGTTGGATTAAATCCTGGTGGGCTCCAGCCCAATGGGCCTTGCCTCCTACTGGCTCCAGTTCTCCAGGGCCTGCCTTGCTACTTTGTCACATGCCTGGAATATGCTCATGCCCCCCATGCCCCGCCCCATGCCTCCTGACTCCCCCCCTTCATTCTCATCTCTCCCCACTCCTTCTCTCCTCTTTTATCTGAGACAAAGTCTCAGGTAGCTCAGGCTGGCCTTGACCTCGCTGTGTAACCAATGCTCCTCTTGGACTCCTGTCTCCACCTTCCAAGGTTTGAGACGATAGACCCTGCCTCCACGCCTAGCTCATAGTAAATTCTCTCCAGAAAAGGGCACGTGCCAGGTGTTGTGGGATAGTCTTTTTGAACACTATGAAGATGTGTCTCTGTGATTGGTTTAATAAAAAAACTGAACGGCCAATAGCTAGGCAGGAGAGAATAAGCGGGACTTCTGGCGAGAGAGAGAATGCTGGGAAGAAAGGGATTTTTGCCAGCAGACTTGAAGGAAGTCGAATGTGTTGTACTGAGAAAAAGTAAAAGCCATGTGGCAGAAAGTAGATTAATTAAAACAGATTAATTTAAGTTCTAAACTAATTGGAAACAAGTCTAAGCTAAAGACCAAGTTTTTATAATTAATAGTAAATCTCTGTGTCATTTTTTTGCCGACTGGAGGTCCCAATGATTACTGCTCCTACATTTGGCACCCAACATGGAGCACGAACCCACGACCCTGGGATTAAGAGTCCAATGTAGCACAAATAATAAAAACCCAGAGACAGATATTAGGGTTCAATCCAAAAATCAGAAAAAGCAGGGCTGGAGAGATGGCTCAGAGGTTTAAGAGCAGTGTCTGCTCTTCCAGAAGTCCTGAGTTCAAGACCCAGCAGCCACTTGGTGGCTCATAACCATCTATGAGATCTGGTGCCCTCTTCTGACCTGCAGGTGTACATGCAGACAGAACACTGTATACATAATAAATACAATCCTTTAAGGAAGAAAGAAAGAAAGAAAGAAAGAAAGAAAGAAAGAAAGAAAGAAAAGGAAGGAAAAGAAAACCAGAAAAGCAAAGCAGCCAAGTCACTAGGGAAGTCTTACCTCTACCAGGGCTGGGCAACCGCAGACTAAAAAGACTAAATCTCTTTCTCCTCTCATTTTATATTCCCTCTACTGCTGGGATTAAAGACATGTGACTCCCTAGTACTGTGATTAAAGGTGTAGAC